GACAGCGCTCCGGTGGTGGGCGGGCCGCGGGGAGGCCTGGGCGTGAGGGAAGCGGCCATATCTGTGAGGGGCCCCGAAACATTTCTGTATTTTCTGGGGAAAGGTAAGCAAGGCAGGGAACGAACCGAGGATGCCTCGGGGTCTCTCTCTCGCTCTCTCTTATCCCTTCGCGTATGTGGAGACGAAAGGGGAGGGAAGGAAGGGGTGCTGAAATGGGTGCCCGGGAGGCGCGGCAGCAGCCCTGGAGCCTATCGGCCATATCTGTGAGGGGCCCCGAAACATTTCTGTATTTTCTGGGGAAAGGTAAGCAAGGCAGGGAACGAACCGAGGATGCCTCGGGGTCTCTCTCTCGCTCTCTCTTATCCCTTCGCGTATGTGGAGACGAAAGGGGAGGGAAGGAAGGGGTGCTGAAATGGGTGCCCGGGAGGCGCGGCAGCAGCCCTGGAGCCTATCGTCTGGATTCAGGACCCTGGCCAGAGACGTCGAGGGCTTTGGGCAGCCTCTCCCTCGTGTCCTGCCTGAGTCCCTGACCTGTTCAACCCTACAGGTCCCAATCCCCATCGGCTGAGGGGGGCAGCCATGGTCAGGACGGAACCCAAAACCGTGGAGCAGAAATCCCAATCCAGACTAAAAGTGGAACTAAAAGTCCCAGTTGGAACAGGATTGGGCCCGGGAGAGGTGGTGTGAAGGGTTCAGGGTTTTGAGGCTAGATTTGGGTGAATGGAAGGATCGTCGTGGAAATTCTCATTACTTTCTAAGAGTGCTGTAAAAGTTATGAATAATATTAGTGAGAGAAGTACATTTTTCTAGACGGGGAATGTAAATAAATATGTTTTGGTGATATTGCAGGCATTTGGCATGGGTGCTACTGAGTGTTCTGCACCCTGGGTTTTGCATGTGGTTTCTTTCAGGTAGTTATACGCCGGCTCCCTCCTAGTTTTACCAAGGAGCAGCTAGAGGAACAACTCCATCCACTTCCTGCACATGATTATTTTGAATTTTGTACCTCTGATCCAAGGTTAGAAGTTGTTTATCTCTGTGAACAAGAGAGACATTTTATTGTGCTCACATTATCAACAGCATCAAGATTTGATTACAGCATACTCAGTAAAAGAAATAATTAAAAATAAATTTTGTAGAGCAGTGATAAATATCAGAGTATTCTAAAGATTTTAATGTGTTGTAGCTCTTGGTTTCTTTGACATAGCACAATGCATGATGTGATCACAAACTTTTCCTGTAAACCTGGGTAGCACACTAAGCTTGAAATTGTCATGCATGATTTTTAAAAGTATCTAAAAATCTACTTTACATGTTGTAACTATTAGATCTTTTTTCTAGCCTCCAGCATGAACTTTCTATTGATATTTAGCAATAGTTCACATAAGTAAATCCTTAATGAGAACCACACAAGTTTCTTGACTGTTTTGATAGTCAGCATAAAAATCCACACCCGTTATTGCCTGCTTCATGATACTCCATGGAAAATTTCTTATAGCCTGGCTGAAATTCAGTAGTAAATTGCAAGAGCAGCCCACTGAATTAGTTGTGATTTGGTGGGTTAACACCTAAACTCAGTAAGCCTACTCTAGTTGTGACAGTGCTAGATTTCATAGAATCAAAATGCATAGAATCACTTGTAAAGCTTCAGTAGCGCATCCTCTACCATTCCACTTCTGTGATTGGTTCATTTTTCTTCTACAGACCATCCCTCCTCTTTTATTTAAAGCCCTTCCATGCATTCTCCATTCCAGAAGCCCTTTATGTTTAGGCATCAGTCAGTCAAGGAATGACATAACTGGCACCCAGAAGCTAGAAAAAGCTGGATTCTTGAAGCTACAGTACAGTAGAGGCCTGACTGAAAAAATAACATCCTATAATGCTGTCCTGCAGTTGGTTGAGTTACAAGATAACATGATAGCAGACACAAAACTAGAAGTGGACTTAGGTTTCAGCCGTTTCATACCTTACTCTCTGTATGTGCCACATTGTAGTTAAAGGCTTTGAAGAACTCATTGCTTAAGAAGTTTCTGTCTCACAATAATTGCATTTGATTTGTAAATGTTAGATTTACCTTGATATACTTCATGTGTTCCTTCTACCACTGTTTCTATTTAGAAAAGGAACATAAATAACAGAAAACACTCGCTCTTGTTGCAGCCTTTATCCTCATCTCTACTCAAGAGCATATATTAATTTTAGAAACCCTGATGACATCCTTCTTTTTAGAGATCGCTTTGATGGTTATGTCTTCATTGACAATAAAGGTAACCCATTAATTAATATCAGCAGAAACTGAACTGCTCCATATCAGATTCAAAGGGAACTAGTTCTAAGCTGTTAGGACTGTATTTCTTGAACAGTAGTTGAGCTTATCACAGGACAAAGTGAAAAACTAGTTCCAGTTATAAGCTATTTTTTTGACAATGTGCCACAGTTCACACATTATGGCTTTGTGTACTTTAGTAAAGCTTCCAAAGAATTTTTTTCATATATAGTCTTGCACAGTAATATTATACAACTTTCAAGAAGCTAACGAAATACTCATAACTTTTAAATTAAGTAATAGTGGAATTTTTGTTGTTATGTTATTACTCTTAATATTTCTACAATGTTAAAAATATGATTTGCTTCTGTGTTGACAGATACACCTAGGATATAGGAGTAGGTTTATCATGGAGCAGAGGAAATTATTATCAGCTCATGTAGCATTGGCTGCAGCTGTGGAAGCTTGCTTTTGTATACAGATTTCTTTTCTGGGTCAGGGTAGTTTATTCTAACCTTTGACCAGAATCTCTCACTGCATTTTACTGTGCTAGAAGAGGGCTTGTGGGAATTGCTACAACTAATTGCTGCAGTTTGATGATATGCTGGGCACATGAGCTGACGTGTAAACAGCAAGCCTTTAGAATGTCAACAATTAGTCACAGTGGCTTCTATGATTCCTCTTCCGTGTAAAATGCAATCAGATTCTGGGCTTCTACAATTTAAAAAAAGTTGATCCATCTTAATTCCAATATTTGGAATCAGAAAGAGATATAATCCAAGTTCTCTCAGCTTCAAAACGTCTGTTATTTTTACCATTAATTATTGAATTCATTTGGATTCTTTCAAGGTCTGGAATATCCTGCTGTTGTTGAATTTGCACCATTCCAAAAGATTTCTAAAAAGAAGCTGAAGAAAAAAGATGCAAAAGCTGGGAGCATAGAAGATGGTAAACTCAATTACTTGGCAGAAATATTTTTGTAACTTCGTCTGGTTAAGGCATAATTTTCCATGTAATATACAACATACAATGCTTAACATTCTTTGCATCTTTTTTCTTCCTCAGATCCAGAATACAGGAAATTTTTAGAAAGCTATTGTGCTGAAGAAGAAAAAATATGTGCCAACCCTGAAACCCTGCTTGGAGAGATTGAGGCAAAAACAAGGGAGCTCATTGGTCTGTTAAGCTCATTTTTCCCCCTCTGTAACCCAAATTCTCATTCCTTTCTCCCCTTGCTTATGGGCTCCTTAAAGTCATAGTTATTAAACTGTGTTTATATCTAGTGCCATTACAGTTTTTCTTAATTTTAAAAAACAGAAATATTAGCAGAATTAAAGTGTTATCACTCTGCAGAACATTTTGGCAAAATAGGTCCATACATTGAGATTAATGAGCTACTTGAAGAGAGCTTTCATATTAAACATTTTGGGGAAGGGGCAGTAGTAAGCTTCAAACTATTCTAATTTAACAGTAAGCATCACAATATTTGTGCATAAAAGCAAAATGTATACGTTACACTGACCCCTTCAACATTTGTACATATATGGAATCAGTCTATAACACCAATTGGGTATTGAAAATACATACAACTTTTCCTTCTAACCTGTGCCACTTTATATCAACATTTTTCTTCTCCAAAATTTTGCAAGGGTGTGGGAAAATATTTAATATAAAAATATTATTCCAAAGTAAAGTATAGCAATATCCCATATTCATTAAATAATCTCAGATATGTATCTAGGTTCCATAATTTCCAGACTTAACAATAAGAAATGAATGACCTTCATGTATAATAAAGAAGAAACACCATTATCACTACTAATTACCTTGCTGAATCTTAATGATAAAAAGCAAACATGAATTGTAAAACATGATACTAATAGGAATGGAACACTATGTATCACATTTTTGTGTTTTAGCTAGAAGAACAACACCACTTTTGGAGTATATTAAAAACAGAAAATTAGAAAAACAGGTACGTTTATGTTTTGAACACTTTGTGTTTCATGTTCTTTTCAATGCTTGTACAAATTTACATTAAACATTTCCAATATTTTAGAGAATACGAGAAGAGAAAAGGGAAGAACGAAGGAGGAGGGAATCAGAAAAGAAACGCCTAAGAGAAGATGAGAAACGGAAACGCAGAGAAGAAGAAAGGCGCAAGAGAAAAGAAGCTGAAAAGCAAAAGAAAATTTCTGAGAAAGAAATACGGATAAAGGTATTTTTAAAAGAGTTTGGATTTTTTTCCCCCCTCATCTCTGGTCTTTAAATTGTGCTATTGCAGTTTTTAATTTCCTTTGTTGTTTTGTATCTTATGCTGGAAGAGGCAGGAAACTTCTAACTAAAGAAGGTGTTGTTTCTATTTTGAAGTCTTCCATTGAGAACTTGCCATCCGTAACTTGTATTTATGTGTGGCATTATATTAAAAATCTGCAAATCATGAAAATAAATTCAGAATAAAACAACTTATCTACAATATTGAATTTAAAAAAGTAAAAATGTATCTTTAGATGGTCAAACAAAATAATATTAAAAACAAAATTAAATCACAGAAAATGATATTTTTCTCTTGAGGTGCTTTGGCATGGGTAGAAATAACTCAATGGAACAGAATGCTTAATTGTTAATTCTCTTCTAAAACAAAGAAATGCCAGTCTACATTTATTTAAATATTAAATACCTGCACTGTATTAATTTGTATTCTAATCACCAAACAGATACCATTACATTGTAAAAATCAATAAATTTTAAAGAATGGTGTGAAATAAGAAAACAAGACAACCTGCCAAAAAATTCTAAGATATCAATTTCCTTGATTTCCCCCAATTTATATGTATGTATGGTCAGTTGAATTTGTCTTCTGAAGCTCAGCTAACTCTGATAATTCACTATGCATTTGTGAGGGTTCAGAATTTAATTCTTGTTTAGCTCCAAATAAATCATCAGACTTGCGAGGTTTAGAAATCGGAGTAATATTTATTGCGTCACTTAACAAAAAAAACAGTGTCTGCAAACGTATCCCAATCTTCTTTCTCCTCCAACAATGGGTCAGAGGTTCTTAACCTTTGTTACTCAGGTGTTTTTGAACTGCAACTCCCAGAAACCCCAGCCAGCACAGCTGATGGTGAAGGCTTCTGGAAGTTGGAGTCCAAAAACATCTGAGTAACAAAGGCTAAGAACCAGTGAGATAGGGGTTTCCATTCTTTAACCTTAAAGGGCTTTCCCCCTTGGACATCCCACGATCCTGGCCAGTCCATAGCATCTCCCCCAGTATCTGTCCAGCCTCCCCTTCCAGCAATGGGACGGTGTCCTCGTCTCAGTCTTCCAACCTGGCCAATTCTCTGGAGGAGATGGGAACCTGCCAGGGCCCCCAAGCTGTCCCCTCATTTGCATCTCCCTCACCATCCATTCTATCCTCTCTCTTCTTTCTGTTTCTACCTTCTTTTTCTCTTTCAGCTTCCTCCTCCACTCTTTAGTCTCTCTCTCACCCCAATATGAAGGCTTTGGGGTACTCTCTCTCCTCCTGCTGCCTTCTGCCTCTTCCTTCAGTATTCTTAGCTTTTCCACCTTCCCCATCCATGGGTCCTCTATCCAGTACCATTCCCAGCCTGACGGTAACTCCTCCTCACTCCACCTTATATATGCCAGATCAGCCTCTACCCCCCCCCCCCCGGGGTTTCTGTTCTCTTCCCGCCAAGATTGTCCCGTGTTTTTTAACCATCAACCCTTTCAAATTCTCCTCTGTCTTCACTGTGTCTGTTCCTGGTGGCCTTATCTTCCTGGGTGGGGGAATTGGCAGGATCTGTACTTCCTTGTCGGCAGTAGGCAGGAGGGACGGCACTCCCATGAGAGGGACTTTACTCTCACCTCCAGCCTTATAGCATTTTATGCCTAATTTGTGATAGTATTGACAACAACACATCTATACTTCTCTGCCACCATTGCATCCCTGAATATCCATTCAGCAGATATTTTTGTATAGTAAATGGTAATTTGGTCCTGCTTGTATAGTACTAGAACCTTCAGAGTTACATTGTGACAGGTTTGTAAGGCAACCTGAGTATTCAATAACTCATGTTCACTTTGAACAGGAAAAGGAAGCAATGTTCAGTTTGGACATGATGCTATCCTTGATACAGATCTTTCAGAAATGACCAGAGCACCATCTAATTTCACTTAATTAGTTTCAGTAATTCAGTTTTAGTTGATGTGCAACTAACACTTGCCCTTGGACCACAACCATGACAAATTGACTGAAGTGTATTTGATACATTATGTTATTGATACATTGATAAGGCGCCGTCACTAATTGGCAAAATGATAATATGTGTACCTTTCAAGAACTTAACTAACAAGCAAATTTATAATACATAGAGTTCCCATTTCCAGGTGTCCAGAACTGATTAGCCTTTGACTAGCACAGATATGCTAAACATATACCTTTCCCAATAAACATTGGTATATTCCCAGACAACTATTGGCCAAGTCAAGCAAAAGATAAGAGAAAGAAATTAAACTGTGAAACAGAACTGTAAAACAGAGAGGCAGCTTCTGGTTAGGCTAAGAAAAGTCTAAGGAAAGATAGAAAACTATGTGTATAAGCCTATCCATAGAAGCAGACTTGGGTATTGGGGAACTATTGGGGGTAGGTGATATGATTCTGCTCCTATTTGCAGAATCAATTTCAGAAAGTAGCTAAAGGGGGACTCTGCTGAAATCTGTATTGTCTGTGTTTTGAGGTTTTACAAGGTTCTGTCATTTCCCCCATGTTTCACAATATCCATATGAAGCCACTGAACAAGATTATTGCACATTTTGGAGTGAGGACCTCTTGGAAGGACAGGTGGGTAGCTTGGGATATTCCTGGATCCAGTTTGTCACCTAAGGCTCAGGTGGCCTCTGTGAACTAGATTGCCACCATTGCCTGTTCAGGGGCTATAACCATTCCTAGACAGGGATAGATTGATTACAGTGGTTCACAATAACCATCTAGATCATGGGTCCCCAATCCCCGGTCCTCGGCCCTATGTCAATCCATGGCCGTGACCGGACCGGGCCGCGGACACAGATCTTCCGCCCCCCCTGCACGCATGCCCCCACAGCCCCTTTGCACATGCACGCAAGTGCGCACCTGCCCCATGAGCTCCCCCACCCTTTGTGCATGCACACAAGCACCCCACCCCTTCATGCATGTGCAAGAGTGTACGCGCACCCCATGTGATCACCCCCACCCATTTCCACATGCATGCGAGCATGGGGGTGCCCTGCCCCCCTACACACAGACCCCATCCCCCCCAACCAGTCCAAGATGTCAAAAAGGTTGGGGACCACTGTTCTAGATGGTTCACTGTGATGTGTCATATGGCGTATGCTCTTAAACATAACTTTCAAGCTTCAACCAATGCAGTCTGTATCTGTTTGAATGCCATGCAGCTACTACATAGTGGCTGAAATCCTGTTGCACAGTTATGCAAAGGTGTAACTTTTGGAAGCAAATGGGTAATCTCCATAGATGTTTTCTGTTGAATACTGAGTCACACAACTTGGTGTGAAACACATAAGGTTCGTGCAGATTTCTTAACTTACTGCAATTCGCCTCTAAAAGTTATTTTGTTTGCATAACTGTGGAAAAGGATTTTGGCCATTATGTGCTATGAACAAAACCTCTGTTATTATGATGCCTAATTTCTGGGATGCTTTCCCTATAGATTTGTGACTGAAGCTGACTCTGAAATCATTTTCATATCAGTTCTATATTTTCCAGTTTGCCCAGAAGCTTTAAGTCAAGTAGTGAATTTTATTGTGTTCAACTAACTTCTTAGAATCTATTTCATAAGTATATTTTATTGCATGTATTGTGTTTTATAGTTATATGGCCATTTCTAATTATATTTATGGTGCACCACCCTAATATCTTTTCAATGGAGGACATTCTGTGTCTAAATAAATAAAATAATATTTTTCTTAGCTTCTTAAAAAGCCTGAGAAAGGAGATGAGCAAGCCACAGAAAAGCACAGAGAAAAAGAAAAATCTGACATAGAAGACAGCAAATGGGAAAAGTCACCTGGACATGGAAATATAAAATCTAAGTCACTGGAAGGTTCATTAAAGGAAATAAAGGAAAAGTAAGTATTTGGCTTTATTATTTTGAAGATTCAGTTGCATCCTGAAGCCACTTTAAATTTACAAATCCTTTGAATTACTATGATGTAAATTAAAGAATCTTGTTGTGATGATTCTACTGATTTTTAATGACTTAACTCCTACATTTTATTTCACCTGGTAAGTGCAGGGAATTGCACTGCTGAAAGCAGTCATGATCTTGTCCTTAACCGAACTAGAGATTGGAAAACAAGTACCACTTGAATCTCACTAACTGTTAACTACTTGATAACTTATATCTCAGTATATGAACTGAATCCACTAAAAAGTATAGTATAATGAGGCCCATAGAAAAGCAGTGTCTGTGCCATGAATCTATGATGACTCATTGACATGTGTAAGTCACCACTTCCTGCTGGTAACATTAATGACAAACACACATTGAACCAGTCATCGATTTTCATATGTTTTGCACTTTGAGTCCCAAAGCTCTAGCCAGCATGTCCCATAGTCAAGGATACTACTAGTTTAAGTTTAACATATGGTGGACAGAACCACTACCTTAGAACACATGTATTAGTCCCTGGCTTACAATGAAAAACTGAAAGGTTACTTTGAAGAAAAAAGGAATATAATGACATACTGGAGCCACCCCTAAGTGATCGGATCATGCTCTGGGAACTTCGTTAATGTAAATGTCCAGGCTCTAGCTGCAGATCCCTCAATGCAATTTTGCAGGTGTCCTACGGATCCCTCATTCCCCCATCCCCAGCAACATAAAGTTTTTTGTACCTCTTAAGCTTTTAATAATAATAATAATTTATTGTCATTGTAAGTATATACACATACAACGAAATTCACAGAAATTCTTATTAGTAGGGCTTCTTTTGTAGAACTAAAACCAGAGCTATTGACACCAGATTCAAGGAAGTGGTCACTTCAGGGGATAGGGTGCTGTCCTCAGGAGGGCCTTTGCCATGTTGGAGAGGTGCCTTGCTCTTTGCAGCTCTCCAGAGCCAACCTCTGGCAGTGGCAGGGCTGTGGTTGCTGGTACTTTCTTCTTTTGGGGTGGAGGAGATCTCCTTTGCTTTGGGGCCACGGCTGGTTCCTTCCTTGCATACATTGATGTGTCATTCTCCATTTTGGGTAGTTCAGCAGGCTTGTGTGCTTCTTGGGGGGCTTGCAGGCTCAGCTGCTGTTTCTCACTTTGGAGAGCAGCAGGTGGGGATAGGACTGGCAGTTTTGAGACTTTGGGAGGAAGTGGATATCACTGCTGCTGCTTTATTTCCTGCCTTCTCTTGGGTAAACTGCCACTGCTGCACAATTTTGTGAATTCAGCACTTTTCTCCCACTTCAAGTGGCAGAAGTGAATAAACATTTCTGGCATAAAACGTAAGCTGTACTGTAGTACGCCCAGGTAGGTAGGGCTTGTCAGCCTTGGAAGGCAGCCCATTTAGGAGAAGGAAAACTCTGGTTTCAAACCTCCACTTCCCTGTGGCTATATCCACTGATCGAAAAGACTACAGACGTTAACCTTGAGGGAAAATCTGGAGCCAGAGGCAATTCATGTCATTCTGGCAACTCCTGCGATGTTGATGGAACCAGTTGTATTGGCTCTTGCCTTTCCATTGGACTATTTCAGCGATGTGAAGAGGGGGGGGATTTGCTGCTTGAGTAACAGCCTATCCTCCATATTATTTTACCCAGGCTTCATGCTCTGGAGAGGACACTCCAGCTTCACATACAGCGTCTAAATAATACGGGAAGTAGCGTTACCGGTTATAAGTCTTTGCTCAGTTGGCATAGAGCATGATGCCAAGGGCTTCTTCCGATGCTGGGAGAGGTCATTGCACTTCACTAAGTAGCTACCGCCCACCTTAAGATGGGCAGTCCCCAGCCAGTAAGGTGCTACTTTGCCATGGTCTGTTAATCTCACAGGGTGTGTGGGGTTTAGGGAGAAAGCTGACGAGCAGATTGATAACCCTGCACCATGCAACAATCATAAGAAAACTTCTGCCTTACAGTTGGGCACCTAGAATGTTCAAACAATGACCGCTGGCTTTTCTGACGACCTGCAGGAAATAGATGACATGCGCAAGACAGCTGTCATTGACATGGAACTGAGTAGGCTGCAAATACACATTGCTGCCCTGCAAGAGACGAGATTGCCAGACATGGGATCTGTCAAAGAAAAAAAAATCTCATTCTTCTGGCAGGGAAAACCATTGAATGAGACCAGGGAATATGGTGTTGGCTTTGTGGTCAGAAATACTCTGCTGAGATCCATTGTTCCACCTGCTGTGGGGAATCCTGTCTCTGTAGCTCCACTCATCAACAGGACTGATCACCCTCATTAGTGCATATGCACCAACACTTGTGTGCAACAGAAGTCAAAGACAAATTCTACAATGATATGGCAGCTACTATCAAAAAAATCTATGAGAGAGAGCCACTGTTCATTCTTGGAGATTTTAACGCTAGAGTTCGTGTTGATCACAATTCTTGACCCACTTGTCTAGGCCGTTTTGGCATTGGGAAGATGAACGAAAATGGCCAACGCTTGCTGGAGTTTCGCTGTTATTATAGTCTCTGTGTCAGCAACACATTCTTTAATACAAAGTTTCAACACAGAGTTTCCTGGAGACATCAAAGATCCAAGCATTGGCATCAGCTCGATTTGATCCTCACTAGATGCTCTTGCCTTACTAGTATTATGATCACATGCAGTTATCAGGGTGCTGATTGCAATACTGATCACTCCCTGGTGTGTAGTAGAGTAAAACTGCAAATGAAGAGATTGTCTCACACGAAAAAGGAAGGAAGACCACGTATTCACATTAGCAAGACCTGCGATCAAAGAAAAGTGGAGGAATTTGTCCAAGCACTTGAGGAAACCTTTCCAGGCCCGTCTGTTCATAGCAAAGCCCAAAAGGATGGCAGGAGATATCCTAATGATTATTGGCTTCAGCTCTGCTCTCAGATAAAGATAGCAGCAGACACAGGTAAAATCAAGGGAATGTATGACGGTATCAAGCAGGCTTTAGGTCCAATACAGAAGAAATCTGCTCCTTTGACGTCTACTACAGGCGTGATCATCCAGGACCGAGCACAGCAGATGAAACGCTGGGTGTAGCATTACTCTGAGCTATATTCCAGAGAGAATGTAGTAACTAAAGAGGCATTAAATAACATTGAGTGCCTGCCTGTCTTGGAAGAGTTGGATAGCAAATCAGCTTTAGCAGAAATAAAAGCCGCCTTGGATTCCCTCACCTCCGGCAAGGCACCTGGGAGTAGAGTAAGGGAGGTGTTTTTATAGAGAGAGGAAGAGGCCAGTTCTCGTTCACCAGCAGCCTAAGCTTTTTCCATCAATGCATCTGCCCACACCTATCACTATCCTACCACCACCACCCCGGCAGCATGCCAAAAGGTTGCTGCCTTATATTTTAAAGAAAGTCCTTTCTGCTAATATAGACAGTGACCTACTCAGTGTGGGTGGTTCTGAGCAAGATTCACTGTTTCAGTTCCGACTCCTGTTGGCATGTCCTCATTTGTCCCTTTGAACTAGTCTATAGAAACTTTATTTAAAGAATTTTATTGTTCCTAACTTACGATGTTGCTAGCCTTGGGAAACATTCTAATGCAAATGGCATTTATCATGCTTTTTCCTACTTATAAGGCAGTTGAAAAGGGAACTTGAACATGCTATCAAATCACTCACATGGGTATTTCAATGACATAGGAATGTGTATTTCAACTAAATTTGGGAAAGCTGTAGGATAAATAGACATGGCTGGCAATAATGATCTTAGAGTGTGATTACATGTGTAAATAGATTGTGTTTTGGCCACTTGTGGAGTGGTCTGTTGTCATTTTTTTCATGTCAGTCACATGACATATGGGGAATTGTGCTCCAGCCTGACCCCGATCTATGCTCAAGGGCTACTCCTTTTGGGGAACAAGGTGCAGAGATTCCCTGGCAGATGGAAGGGTCATTTTAAGGGAGATTGCTCCTTGCAAAGCAACTCTTTCCGGTGTGATTAGGAGCACACCTGTCTGATCACACTAAGTTAGGTTGGAGAGAACAAAAGAAAAATTGTGAGACACAATCCAGAGTTAACCATTTCTGATGTAGATTGTAACAATTACTCACAATTGAAATGCAGACAACATGGTGGTGTACTTTTGGTCTAAAAATATTATATTTATTTATGAGACTTTTGCAGGAAGGTTGCTTTCTAGATCCATTAGCTTATGCTTTCAGATAGTCTTCAGCAATTTCTGTGTGCCATTCTAATAACTGAACCCCCTTAACACTTTATCCTATGAGCTATGCTGTCATCTGAAGAGCTACAATAAGGCAGTACCTCTATTAGGATTTATCAAAATACCACAAAATCATGAGCAAGTTTTTCAGGTTCCCCAGGACACTTCATCAGTTGGATCACTAGGAGTCTTGTTCACTATTTTATAACATTTTCATTTGTTCCAATAAAGGTTTTGCCTGGCCATATATTGTGGATTTTTTCATATTAACCAATGCAGCATTCTTTACTTTCTTCTGACATCACTGTAACCGTAATATCAGGCTGTTAGCAACTCATAAACCAGTGTTTGGAAACCAAAGCTGCATAAATATCAAACAGCTGAGAGATGACATTCTAGACTTAAGATCTTTTTCTGAAAACACTGCCCTTTTATTCATTATTTTCTTAATTGAACACAAAATAAACAGTTGAATTTGCAGAACCATCCCGACCGACATTAACTATAAAAAACAAGAAGATTTTCAACACAACGCAATACAATGTGTGCATACATACTAAGTCTAGCCTGGAAGTCAGGAAACCTAAACCCAATAACACCATTGCATTCAATGTGAATTGCTTTTCTGAATTGACATGTACAGAATTATGTTGTAAGCATAGTTTGTCCTGCTCCAACACCACTAAATGATCAGGGAGCTTTGCTTGGGAATTATATGCCTCTCTGATTAATTAAGTTTGGATTGTTCTTTTTTTAAAAAAATACAGGCCACAAAATGATAGTGATAAAGAGCAAAGAGATTCAGAGAGAAGATTTCGGGAAAAGGAACCTCCTGAGAGACAAAGGTTTCGACTGGAAGATAGCCGAAAGCACAGAACGCACTATGAATTTGACAAGTTTGTGAGAAGGAATGAAGATGAGATGAAGTGGGGAAAAGGATACAACCAAGATCGAGGGAAGAAAGTGAACTACAACTACAGCTTCACTGTGGACACAGTAGACAAACTGGGTAAAGAGGACAAGTGTGATGACATGGCATCCAAAAAGGAGCGCATAAGAAATAAGGTTCTTTTATTCATTCAGGATAATTTTTCATTACCACAATTACTTCAGAGTCACACAGGATTTGATTTTTCAGCATGACCTTAAGGAGTTTAATTTTTTTTTAGTACTATGAAAACGTCCACATTTCATTTACCAAAAGCAGTTAGAATGATAGGTATTTGACTCTGTGTCTACAGACTTAAAATATGTGCTTTTATGAAGTACAGAATTCTGGCTTTTACATTTTTGCTTACCTACTATAATAAACATATGATTGAATACTACACTCCATGAAAACCTATCTTCACTTAAACCTCATCAAAATATTATGTTCTAGTACATAACTACTGAGAGAAATAATTGCCAAAACAGGTTAAGTTGGTGCTGCCTGAGTAGTAAGCATGAATTGTGCTGTTATATATAAAAAGTGCATGTTATATATAAAAAACAAGGGATGTGGTGGCACTGTGGGCTAAACCGCAGAAGCCTGTGCTGCAGGGTCAGAAGACCAAGCAGTCGTAAGATCGAATCCACGCGACAGAGTGAGCTCCCATCGCTTGTCCCAGCTCCCGCCAACCTAGTGGTTCGAAAGCATTTTGTGCTGTTATATATAAACAGTGCATGTTATATATAAAAAGGGTGAGGCACTTGTTTTTTTTTTAAAGCATTTCAAAGGACAACTCAATAACAGTTGAGCTGTTGTTAATATTGACACAGGCTGCAAGACTGGTGTTTTCCACAGGTGTTATTCTTGTATTTTGTAGCTGCTGTGGTGCAAAAGGTGGCTTATATTGACAAAGCAATCGTAGCATCCTTCCTTATATGGGAGAGATAGCTCTGCTGTGCTGCTTACCAGCTGGAAGGCTTTTACAATAGCTTAATACCATTTATCATAGATGGAAGAGCGGGATGAGCGCCGCCCCCTAGAGTCGGACACGACTGGACAAAAATTGTCAAGGGGAAACTTTACCTTTACCTTATATATAAAAAGGGTGAGGCACTTGTGTTTTTTTAAAGAATTTCAAAGGACAACTCAGTAACAGTTGAGCTGTTGTTAATATTGACACAGGCTGCAAGACTGGTGTTTTCCACAGGTGTTATTCTTGTATTTTGTCCTGTGCATATCTGTAGCTGCTGTGGTGCAAAAGGTGGCTTATATTGACAAAGCAATCGTAGCATCCTTCCTTATATGGTAGAGACAGCTCTGCTGTGCTGCTTACCAGCTGGAAGGCTTTTACAATAGCTTAATACCATTTATCATAGATGTGTGGCTTCACCCTAAGCATGTTTCCTCCTGATTTCTGTGAGGCTTACTTCCCAATACATGCTTTTGAGATTACAGCTTTAGTTTCTGCCAGTATAGCTTGCTACATGCCAACTAGGAAAAGGAGAAAATACCATGTGATCCTTGTACTGTACACAGTCCAAAGGCAAGGGTAGGTGATATCTCTAGAAAGACCATTAAAAATCACAAACACTATATGTTGGCCTGTCCAGGCCTTCATCAGGCTGGGCACCACATATCTGTGGATGATGCAGAAAACCCACAAGAATTCAAAAACTATGGCTAGATATCTACACCAGTTTCAAATGAGAGCTGCAAAGTCAACCCAAGTGTTGGTTTTGTATTCCACCTCTGACAATGTTGACTGAATTATCCCAAACTCCCCAGATAAAAAGCTGCTGGTCACTCATCATTTTATCTCAACTTAGGCACATTTACATTATCCCAGTCCCCAAGCAATCCTCCCCCTCCAACACACATATACATTTTCCTTCAATATAAGACAGTGGAATGTGTGTGTGCGTATGCTGAGTGGCTGCACACACACAAACTTCTGTCTGGGAAGTTTGGGACAATTCAATCAACATTGTCAGAGGTTGAGTTTAAAACAACACTCCTGACTTGACTTTGTAGCCCTCATTTTGAAAGTGGCATAGGCATATTGCCATGTTTTTTGGAACTCTTGTCGTTTTTCTGAAGAACCCATAGATAAGTGATGCTCAGCCTGATGAATGCTTGTGTGGGCCAAAAGCTAGCATTTGTCTGTGATTTTTTTAGCAGTCTAATTGATGGATCACCTATCCTTGCCTTTGGATTATATGCTACCTATAAGGCCTAAAGGATCACATTGGAGTGAGTTACTTACCTACATTTTGATGTCGCCCATGCCATAGAGTAGGCCCTTTACATCCCTAGGAAAATCCCACAGATATGGAACTGCACTTGGTCCAGGTTGGAGTACTTCCTTAACAGTCAAAAGACCAAGCTCCACATAGTTACACTGCACTTGTGCAGCTCCTCTTTGGTCCAGGTTGGAGTACTTCCTTGACAGTCAAAAGACCAAGCTCCACATAGTTAGGTCAACTTGCATGTCTTTTTGTTAACTTTATATCTTGGAGTCAGAGGCCTGTCTTGTACATCCATATTTGCTTCTATCTATATTACTTTTTTCTAGTTGTTACAATGGATTTAAACTTTGATGAGGAGTTGTTTTCCATGGATCGATCATTTTGGTACTGTGCTGTTGCTTATTCCTATTCCTCTCAAAGCAGCTATCCTCACTTACCCAGAATCTTTTAAATTTGCGAAAAATACTTGGCTCCCAAGAGCCAAGTATGATATCATAAATGATAACTGGCACATCATTTATAATGATTTTTTTCTGTTTTTTAATTCAACATCAAACACTTTGTCCAAAAAGCCCCCTTTTCTGTAACAACTCTATGAAGACATTTAAGATTCCCTATGTAAACAAATGGTTTTCCTAAAGCCTGAATCTTCTTTCTTGTGTTTCTTCCTTCACAGGATCGGCCGGCCATGCAGCTATACCAGCCAGGAGTTCGCATTCGAACACATACGGGGTCTTCAAGTAGGTCCTATGACTGTGCTGAAAAGTCTTCTGAAGAGGCTTATGACAGAAAGTATGAGGCTGACAATTCAACTGGAGGTGGTTCTGAGAAGAGTGAAGATGCAGAATAAAAAAACATGGACATAAATTTCAGCATTAAGATTTAGTGTCCCCATAAAAAATGATAGGTTCTCAGAACTGGGCCAGCATTATTTTATTTTTCTAGCAGTAACTTGGACCACATGCAATTTTCCATAAAATGAATGAGGATGTCATCACTTTACGGGGTGGGGGAGACCAAGGGGAAGGATGTATCAGTTATAGAGCCACATAATAGATTTATTGCCATCTTTGCCGTCTTCTGCTATGGGTGTGCTCCATGCATGTCAGGACAAAATTCATGTCAGGACCATGTAAAGAGATGCATCCAATATGTTATGATAGTAACCACCCTACCATTATCCACTATTGTAAATTTCATACATACTGATGTGTTATATAATCAAACAGGTCCCTGTGCATAATGAAGGGAATTGTTATACAGTACGTAGAATATATTTTGGCTTGAAATGTGGTAATGGTATGGATGACAAATGAGAATATATGCAGAATACAGTCGTAGGAAGAGTCTAATCATTCTTAGCATACTTTAAAGTTTACATTTTGACAAAACATTTTAGAATATAATACAGGTGTTCTACTCTGCTAATTTGAGGAATTTTTCAAAGTGTGGATTTTCATCAGTTTTAACTGAGATATTTTAATATTTTATATAAATTACACAGGCCCCACCCATATAAGACCATGAAAACAAGGCATTACACAGTATGTAAGTTTATTTACATTAACAGGGAGCAAAATACCATAGCTTTGGTCCTGTCAGGAGTTTAGTCCCAACTTGGCAAGTGCATATCTTTATAATAAACTGGAATGCTTTGTATATTTGCAGTTAAGTTATGTGTAAATCATTATTGGCTAGAATCCTACTGGTGCTCAAGTAAGATTTGTTTAACTTGCCATGGCTAATTGCATCTCATTGACAAAGTCCTGTGAAGCATCTCAATTGTGCAATTCGGCTTATGACCAGCCATGCAAACAAGACATGACTTGGCACCTCATCAGTTAGCAACAATTAGTTGTGTTGAGTTACATAAATGGCATATGAACACCAACAGGATTCTGGCTATGTGAAGCAGAAATCAACTGCAGGATTGTGGCTAGTTAAAGGATGCATCTGTAGAAGGCTCATAATTGACATGTTTACTTCTAGTTTTAGTACCTTTTTGCATTTACATTTTTTCAAGGGCAAACTAGAAGCAGCAGCATCTATAAATTAAAATGGGGGTTGTACAAAATTTCTGGGTGGGGGTGATTTAAAGCACAACATATTCAGGTAGAAAGCAAGTGCTTACTCTTCGTTTCTAGCAACTGCTTTTTTCCTAGTCAAGTTACTTCCAGTCTTAAAGCCAAAGATGGAAAATCTTAGCAGACAGCATGAGTGAATCAATATCTGTTTCAGTAAGAACCCACTAACTGTTGACCTTTTTCTGCAAACATTTCAATTTTCGCTCAGAGGCCCATGAGGAGTTTTGGGGCAGGGAAGTGTGGGTACAGAATTCTTTATATGAATTCAGTAGCTTCCCTGTTCCAACATAGTTTTGTCACTGTCACATCTAGTTTGGTCTTTAATTCGCTAGATCGACAGGGAAGTGTCATTATGCTTTGTTAGTTTCTGAACTGCTTCTCCATTTTAAAGAGTTTCCTATGTTTAAGCAAGAAAAAAAGAGGCTGAACTGAGCCTAAATATTTAGTGTTGTGTGTTTTTCATGAAATGGCATTTTAAATGTTTTGCCACTTTTTAATATGTGATTTTAGCAACAGTGTTTTGTATGCTAATATTTCATAATGTATGTTTTTATGTTTCATCAGTGAAAAAATGTTGATATAGAAATAAGCTACAGAATAGGATGCATTTGAGGGAGATGATCTGTGGCACCTCCCTTGGTACACTGTGTTACGCCAATATGCGTGTGATGTGTGTGTTTGTTTCTAGGATCTTTAGAAAGCATCTTCACATGCCTTGAGGGCAGAGCATCATTCTGACAATGCTGACATGTTTTCTGTTTACACAGAACACAAATGTTATTTTACTACTTTTTGTACATCATGTCTTAACTTTTTATTAATAACTGTACTATCAGCATTTGATTGTTCTACTGCAAATAAAAATGATCTTCTAAAACTTCAGCCACTGGAACATTAAACTGAAATCTGAGTAATGACTGACATTCTTCTATTACAATTGCAATTTACAAATACAAAAATAATTAGTGGATTAGCACTATGGTCCAGAAACTCTGAGAAGCTGAGACCTGTGGTTTTGCATGCACTTCCACCATAGAAAACTGCCACAGAAATGGATGTTAGATCTCCAACAGTTATGCTGGATGGGGATGAAGGGATTTGTGGTCCAATGCAGTTGGAAGGCACCAAGTTGACGAAGGCTGCACTAGAGAACTGAGCATTTGTAGACTGCAGAGCAGGCTACCATGTACATACCTGAACAAAGGAATTGCTGTGTGATTAGAAGTACAGTGGTGCCTCGACTTACGAACATCCCTAGTTGCGAAAATTTCAAGATACGAAAAGCTCCGGCCGCGAAATATTGCTTCGACTTGCGGCCAGAGCTTTGAGTTATGGAAAAAAAAACACGGTGGAGGAGGGGAAAGCGCGAAATTTGAACTTTCAGTTGACCGCTGGCCAGCGAAGAGGCTGCTTGTCTGCTACTTTGCTCACCCCAGTGGTTAGAGAGTGGATAGGGAGAGAGCCTTCAGACTGCCCGGTACTGTACTGTACAGACTATTTTTTTGGCTTATTTTAAAAAATTATTTTTGGATTTTTGACTTTTTTTAAAAAAACAGAGAGACTGCCTGTTTTGGGTGAGTACATACTATACACTGTATTTACTGTACTGTACAGGGTTTTTTTTGCAGCTTGGGGGGGTAGGGCTAGGTGGGGGTTATGTTTCTGTGCTCTGATGGGTCTTGCAGTGTGGATTTAAAATGTGAAAAGTAGACTGTAATATTAAATTAAAATGAAATGTGAAAATTAGACTGTGCAGTAATTTTAAAATGTAAAATTTGTTTATTTGTTTTTGTATTCTGTGGCTTCTAGGGTTTGTGTACTATGACCTCTGTTGTTTTAAAATGTGTGGATTTAAAATGTGAAAAGTAGACTGTAATATTAAATTAAAATTAAATATGAAAATTAGACTGTGCAGTAATTTTAAAATGTAAAATTTATTTATTTTTGTATTCTGTGGCTTCTAGGGTTTATGTACTATGACCTCATGAGGTCTTTTTTTCTTTGGGGATCTGTTTGCTGTAATAATGGTTGCTGGTTGTTGATGCAGGCAGGCTGTAAAATGCAGTTTAGACTCTATTTTTGTGATGAGGAGTTCTGTGCTTGAATGATGCTTGCTGGATTCAGTGGCTTTTAGGGTTTGTGTACTGTGACCTGACTTTTGTTTTAAAATGTGTGTTTAAAATGTGGCTCCAAGGTCTGTTTCTTTTAAAATCAGAAAATATGCTGTGAGGGGCTGTGGTGCTTGTTGATGCAGCCAAGCTTTAAAATGGAGTTTACTGTACACTCAAAGGTGCTTGGTTTTGGTTAAAAGGTGTTCTGTTTAGAAGGTGTTCCCTCCCCCCTCCTTTCCTGCCCTTTTTTTGACCTAAGTTCATCTTAGGTCAAAAGAAAAAATTATCCCCCTAGTGGTAGAGTACAGATTAACCGGCTTTGCATTAGTTCGACTTAAGAACGGCGCCTCTAGATAAGAACTAAAAACAGCCGGAACGGATTAAATGGTTTTCAGTGCATTCCTATGGGAAATGGTGATTCAATTTACAAAAATTTCGAGTTGTGGCCACCATTCCAATACGGATTAATTTCGTAAATTGAGGCACCACTGTACTGGAGATATAGCCAAACTTTACTATGTGAATTGTAGGACATGGAGTTGGAAGAGGCCTATAAGGACACTAAATCCAATCTCCTGCTCAATGCAAGAATCCAAATCAAAGTATATCCGACAGATCGTTGTCTATGTCTTTCTTGAATGCCTCCAGTGTTGGAGTGCTCACCACTTTCTGAGGTAATTGGTTCCGTTGTTGTACTATTGTATTTCAGTCATGGGAATCCTCCCACCAAGTTATCCCTATAAAGTCAAATTTACCCTCCTCAACTAAGTTTTCTAGTTTCTTGTTTTTTTCCTATATTTCTGCCATTCATATATAGACACTGGAGACTATATGATCTGCAGTCTGCTTTACTTTGTACATTTCAAATGAAGATTATTATTGGGCCCCATTAGAGCTGCTCAGTCTGTTGTCTTACTGTGAGTAAGCCTTCATCTATCTTTATCTCTGAGCTTGTGCCTCCTTCCCCCTTCCAATTCAGTTTAAAGCCCTCCTGGTGAAGTTCTTTATGCTGTGCCAAACACATTCTTCCCAGTCCTTGTGAGATGCAAGTCAACACTTGCTATCAGTCCATATTACAGGAAGCACAGCCCATGGTCCCAAAATCTAAATCTCTCACATCAGCGCCACCTTTATAGCCAGTTGTTCACCAGGAGTATTTTCTCTTTATTCCTCTTTTGAGTACCAGTAGGATGTGAAGTTATTTATGGTAAAAACAAGAACAAAAAAACTGTCATGGACTTGAAGGGGTTCCTGTTCTTTGTTAGGAATAAAGATTACTCATCATCTGTAGCTTTGGCTCCTTCTTTGCATGTGTGACACCTATACCTGGATGTATGTAAAATTTCATACTCTCCCGCCTGCAGCTTATCTACAGTGTCACGTTTACCCTTGAAAGGTAAATAATTCTATATAAACTTCTTTGGCTAGATTAGAATATAGGAATGTTATAGCATGATCACCTATCTGCAGTCAGATTCAGAAGAATGTGGTTTGTCTTCTTTGCATGAGTCTCAGGTTGCCTGGTCTTTTGCTGATATTCATTGGCTTCTTATAAGCCATTAGTACATGAAAAGTGTCTCTGTCTTGCAACTTCTTTATTCTTTCCCAAAAATCTTCAGTATTGCACAACTGAAATATAAAAATTTGCAATGCATGTTACAAAACATGACTATGGTAAATCTGGTTTTGATCTTATTCAATAAAACCATTCAGTCAATAACATCACCTCAGTCAATCCAACCCCCACCCACCCCCATTTTTAAGTTGATCTTATTCTTGCAGTGCATGTTAACTATTGCTGAGGTTGCTTTTATATGTCAACAAGTCACTTCCAATATTTTGCGGTCCTGTAAATTTATGATCTTCAAAATATCCTATCATTAACAGCCCTGCCAAATGTTGTTGATAACTGGTTCCCAATGGTATCTAAACAGAAAATTACGTATTATTGAATTTTTTTAGCATACCAATACCTCCTTCAAAATAGTTGTGAAAATTATTACCTGCCAAAATCTTTTGCATGTTTTCGAGAACTGCCTAATATCCTCTATATTAAGGAATGACAAGATGTAGATGATCAAATTCTCAGGCATTCGAACTAGGAAATCATAGTGTCCTTGACATAAGTTGAGAAAGTAGTTCATCATTTTCTTTCCAAAAATGCTTTGTATTTGCTCTGAGCAAAATGAAAATACACAGAAGGGTATAAACACAAGTATTACAAACTCGACACTGTTTAAAATTTGTGCTAAACTACATTGATAAACACAAAACCTCAATAAATAAGCATAGCAAAAATAATATGACATTGCATAATATTTATTGTAGTGGGTAAAGAGAGTCAAAGTGATAACAGGTCCTTGAATTTACCCATGGTACATTAATCTCTTGTTTTCTAATTCTCCTGGAGTAATTCATTTGGGAAAATTCACAGTGCTAAAAGAAATGAGAAGTGATTACTTCTTGTTGCATACAGTAGTTAGTTGCAGTTAGCGTAGGCTCATTTGGATCAACAGAACTTACAGGGAAGTTGATTCACCAAATTCTCATTGGTTTAGTAGCCTTATTCTAGTAGTATTTACTATGCTAAGCAAAAGGACTTGGGC